ACTAAGTATAGAAAGTCTAGTATTTGTCTATTATAAAAATTGCCTTGTTGAAAAGAAAATTGTTCTGACCCAATCAACACTGCAAATAAGCCTTACTTGCAGTTATGTGTAAGGGATCCCATCTATTTTGACCATTATTTATTTTATTACTAATTGTAGGTTCTTTCTGCCTACCCTCAAGAATGATAATAACCAAGGAAGAAATCATTATAGGAAGCTCAATCTATACATAACATTAGCATCATCACCATGCATTAAATGTAATTGCAATAAATTATTATTACCGTCAAATAAAGTCTTTGTCCTAGTGTTCCAGAAGGAAGAGCAGATTTATCAAGTAGATTCTGCTTTGCAATGAAAGGAAATTATTAGCAATTTAGCTAGACCACTTAAACTTATTTAATAGTCAAAAAATGTTAAAGGCCCTTAGAGATTTTGTAGTTAATATAATTAACCTATCGTGTAATTAGACATGTTTGAATTAAAGTCCTTTTTCAATGATAATACCTATAGCAGAAATATTCTCTGGGTAGAAAAAGATTAGTGTTCACATTAGTGGTAAATTCATTATGATGACCACATTTACTCTTGTGGTCTCTCATCCCTGAAGGATAAAAACTGTATAGATACACAGGTTTGCCCTTGCTAGGTAAAATTTTAGCTTGTTTATAGTTCAAAGAACTTTTAAAATAATTTTGAAGACATAATATTAGTTTTAGGGAAACTACTATGTGTTTTGATTTTTTTCCTGGACCTTTTGGAAATGTAGGTTAAAAAAAAGTACTATGGTATGTTAGTAAAGATTGGCTAGAAGTCAATGTGTCTTCCTTCATGCAGGCTTTTTGGAAGTTGGAGTTCAATATCCCTACCAAGTTTTCATTCTTGAAGTCAATCATCTGAAACTAGGTCTAAGAGCACAGATAACTCCATAGCAGCCAATATTACTTCCACATCACTCATGTGCCTGCTCACAATATTTACACTTATAAAAGTACAAGTGCAAACAATCTCATAGCCTTTTTAATTCTTTTGCCATTCTAAGTTTAAAAACAGAAACCAACAAACTTATGTCTTCACTCCATAAGTTCTCTGTATCATGTCTGTCTTCTTGTTGGTTGATGCTGAATTGCTGCTATTGGCCACTGCGAACACCTTAAGTCATAGAGTATCTAGTTTAGAAAATGTTAAATGTATGTTTTTGCACCTGTTTGGCTTAGGAGAGCCCTGCATGGTTCACAGTCATAGTATTATTTAGCACAGTAACATAGACTATGGGTTTATAATTAAATTTCTAGTTTACATTGCTTTGAAATAGTTTGCTTTTATTAATTTATTTAACTCATCTTACTTGGTTAATCATATCACTCAGGTTTCAAGAAGCTTTGAAGTTGGGTAATAAAAAGATATTTGAAATATTTGAAGGTTATGGAGTAGTAAATGCCAAGAATATAAATTATGAGTTGTGAAGGATGCCCATGAGGGCTCTAATAATCGCACAGAGAGCATAGGAGACAACATTCTGTTAGAGAAGTTCCCATAGGTGAATGTATTCAGGACTCTGGATGCTACTCATTTTCTTCTGGGGATTCTTCTCCCTTCTTTGTGTCTACTCCAACTAGGATTCAAATTTGGTGAGAAACCTTGTTGTTGTAGCAGGAGACCTTTATGGTAACCATGGGCTTTGGATTTTGCTACGCAGACAAGGCAGGAAGTAAGGAATTGGGCAGGGGATCTTAGCACTGTGGAAATCTCTACTAGAAAGTTTCCTGATGGAGCTATAGAAGAGGAGTTCCAACTGAGACCTAAGAACATTTAAACAAACAGCAGTTTTTCTTGCTTGCCAGGAAAACTACAGGGAGTATGAAAAGTCATCTTGATATAATAACTATGCATAACTCTAGAAACAATGATTCCCAAGATTCTAGAGGTCCACACCTCACCACAGGGTTCACAGTATGTTGGACATCAAGATTTAAGATTTAATGTCTAACCTGCTGGGTTATGGTCTTTTAGGGATCAATTATTACTTTTGACTTCTCTATACCTACATTTTAGGATAGGCATGTTTATCCTATGCCTTTGTTTCTCTTATATAAATATGCAATTTGGGACATAAAGATTGAAGAGTACATACAGCACTTAACTCATAAATATGAATACCTGATTTTGGAGCCTAAAACTTTGCTGGACATTACTGTATACCTGCTGACCAGCTTGTTGTGGGGGTGAAATAGGCAGATTTCTAAGGATTGTTGCTTTTAGAATAGCTCCATGCTCAATAGAAGACCAGTTTTGAGAGAATAAGGAAAATAATAATAAAGCAGGATACCTGATATGACTGTTTACCCTCTTCATAAAAAGGTACACAGACACTCAGACATACAGACACATGTATGCCCATACCACATGTCCATCTTTTTGTTTCTCTCACACACATGTCCACACACATCTGCATATTCCACACCAGCAGCCTCTGTCTTTCTGTCTCTCTGTATCTCTATCTGTCTCTCTCTCTTCTGCCCTCATATGAACACATACACACACAAAGGAAAAAACTTTTAGATGATATTTTTTAAATTATGGCTAGGGGTTAAATGAGAATAAAGTTACCTTAACTATCATATGAAGTTTTGGTCATGGATTTTTTAATGTTACATGTTAAAATTAGGAATAGGATAATTAGGGGAAAATCAATTAATTTTTTATTATAGTAAAACAAGTGTAAACCTTGGGAGGCAGGATAGAAAGATATGGTTAATAATGATTTAATTATCTTTGCTAATGTTAAGTAAAAGGCTTATTTAAAGAGAATGAATGTAAAATCATTTGCTTTTTAGAGTATTTACCTACATGTAGGGTTGAGGTAAAAAGATTTAACAGTAACATTTGCATGAAGAACTAATTGAGTAATTACTAGGAGGTTACTATGTGTTAAAATGGAGTGACAGGACCAAAGGAGATGCTTGCCCAGGCCACAGCAGACACAGAAATTTGAATCCAGCACAAACAAGAAAAATAAATGAAGTGCAGTAGAAAACACTGAAGAATATTGAGTTGGAAAATGACCCTCTTGCTAAATTGCCTTCTGCATAAGCATGAGAGCCTAAGTTTTTATTCCTGATGCCCTCAAAAAGAAGCTAGACATTGTGGTAAGTGCCTGTGGGCACAGAGATAGGAATGCACAGATAAAGGTTGCTGAAGTTCATTGGTCAGCCAGTGTAGACATTTTAACACACTCCAGATTCAGTGAAACACCATGTGTAGTGGATGAATTAGAATGATCCCATAGGCTCATATATTTGAGGGACTGGTCCCCAGTTGGAGAACTGTTTTAAACAGAATAGGAAGTATTATCTTGTTGGAGATATGTCACTCATGGTGGTCTTTAAAGTTTGAAAAACCCACACTAGGCCCTGTGTGTCCCAGTACTCTCTCTCTCTCTCTCTCTCTCTCTCTCTCTCTCTCTCTCTCTCTCTCTCTCTCTCTCTCTCTCTCTCTCTCTTTCTGTCTCTCTCTCCTTTCTCCGCTCTGTGGATTAGATACAATTTTTCAGCTACTGGTCTAGTGCTATAACTCTTTGTTGTTCACCACATTTCCCATCATGATGATCATGGTCTTACTCTCTGAAATTATAAGCAAACTCCCAATTCAATGCTTTATTTGCCTTGGTCATGATATATCTTTGACATCGATAAAAAAAAGTAACTAAGAAAGTGAGCACTTGTAATTCTAGAGATAGAGTACAAGATAAATAATTGCTGAAAATCTTTTGACAGCTAGTGTAGATAAATCACTAAACTCCATGTTCAGTGAGTAACCTTACCTCAAATATAAACAAGAAATACACTCAGTGTTTTACTTTAGTCTACAAACACACACACACACACACACACACACACAAACACACACACCACTAAGCACATGCACAAGCATATACGAACACATGTAAAAATAAATTTAAAAGGAAATGAGAAAAAATGCCAACTGAAACAGTAAATAAATTTGTCACATTATGTTCTTAAGTATAACAAAGTGATACTTGTATATTATTTGTCTTAATAGTCTTCTTTCAGGTTGAAGAAAGTATTCACATATGTTGAAAAAATAAAGGTAATTCAGAATTCCGATGTACAATTTAGTATGCATGTGTTTTCATCAGGAGCAGGCTAACACCAGGGTATATTTAAAAATGTATGAGCCCTGCATTGCTTTTGACAAAATTAGTCATAAGTATATTTGGCATTTTTGAAGGACCGACTCAAGTCACATACACTTGCTCAATACTTGCTTACATAGGCAGAAAACACCTCCTCTCCATAGTTATGAAGAAAGGAACAGAGGTACATTGACATATTCTGATCACCTGCCGGGATAGCACCGAGTTTACTTAACTTCATAAAAGGGCCAGACAGTCACCTCCTGATCTAGAAGGTGTGATTAAGCCTTGTTAGTCTCCAAACTCTCCTACCATGAGATATAGTGAGAAATGAGCCTGCATTTCTCGACCCCCACAAAGACGTAACCAGTAGAGAAAAAGGATGACTCTACTCCAGCGTGAAAAGATAACACAGATTTATATTCTAAGATATAACCTTGAATAAATGATTATATCTAACTTATCAAGATTTCTCTGGATGGAACCATTCATCAGTATTCAACACACCCTTCATTTGATCATGTGTGTGTGTACACATAGATATAAATTATATATATACATGTGCCTTTGAACTTCCATTGAAGAGAGGATGATCTTGAACATCTGATCCTTCTGCATTCATCTCAGAGGTTCTAGAATTGAAAGTGTGTGGCATCATATCTCATTTATTTAATGCTTGGAATTGAACCCAGTACCTTATATTCATGGCAGGTACTCTAGAAACTAAGTTCCAGTCCCAGCCCCCAAATTTAAATTGTTAACATGGCCTATTTTTAATGACATCTGTTTGTATGCTATGAAAATTAGTTAATTTATTAAAAGATCACAACTTTTATACTTCCAGACTCACTTCCAATGGATATTCACTATCAGAAAAATGATAAGGTAAAAAGAATTTTGATTTGACATACCTTTTCAGCAAAATCTCACTTATACAGTTTCATCTTTTTCTTATGGAATTTGAGAAATTAGACTAGACTTCCTTAGTTTGTTTGTCACTTGACCATTTGAATGCTATGTCAATTTATCAACGATGTTGTTACTATGAAATATCTATGATTTATTAACATTCATGATTGTATATGCCGTTCTCTTTATTTTTATGCCTATATTACATGGAATGTGATGTATAGCAATTTAAGATACAGTAATTAGCAACTTATGCTTAATCCTCCATAAACATTGAGTAAGATTGTACCATAATAAACTGGTTTTAAATTCAAGTCTTTACTAAGTTAAGGATTAGTCATTGACAACAATGTCTATCAAAAAGAGAATTTGAAAACAAAAGAACTTGAAGACAGTCCATTAAATCGTAATGATGTATTGATGCTTCTTAAGCAAAACTTGTCCCCATTCTTTCGGGACCCATCCATTCTAGAGGTTAATTCATTGCATGCTGAGTATGAGGACACTTTAGTGGTGTAGAATATTAAATTATCTTTAAGATTATTCTTTTTGAGTGAGTTAATAGGGTTCCCTAGAAGAGACTGTTTCACAGCAGAATTCCTAATATTCTTGTTCTTAGATTCTTTCTACCCATGATATTCTGCTAAATTCTCTGATGCTGCCGTGATGCAGATGGAACCAATGGGGCAGTCCATGATCTGGTTATTTTTCCCTTCGGTAGAGTTTGATGATCTCTGTTTTCTGTGAAGAGTAGTTTCTTTGATGAAGGTTGATAACTGTACTTATCTACTGTATAAGTCTAAGATACAAAACTATGCTGTTCTAGCAAAATGGCAGTGGTAGATTCTCTTCTAAGATCTCTGACCTCACTATTCTCAGGATATTGGCTAGGTTTCTAGTACTGGGGATTATTTCTCAGTTGATTGAACCTTAATTCCAAATATATAAAGAAGACATTAAGAATGGCAATATCAGTAGACATGCTAATATTGAAAGGGCAAAATTTCACAGGGTCCATCCCTTAGATAAAGAACTACAGGCAACTAATGACTACCAAGAGAGGGAAAATTAATCTTTCTCAGGGATGAGCCCTCTTATTGGTCACCCAATAAGGAGTGGTCATCGCAGAAACTGTATAGATACAAACAATAAAATAAAGTCAGAGGGTTGCATATATATATATATAGAGAGAGAGAGAGAAAGAGACAGACAGACAGACAGACAGACAGAGAGACAGAGAGACAGAGAGTGCAACAATAACAAAAGAAAAGTGGGCTACTAATTTAAAGGGGAGAAAATATATGTGCCAGAGGTGGGGTACCTAGGAGGAGCTTGAAGGAATAAAAGGAAGGGGAAATTGTATAAATTTACTTTAATTAAAACCTATAAAAATTAAATCAGAATTGATGGGAAGTTTGTCTTTCCATGAGTTTATTTGTAATGAAGAAATGATGCAGATAAGACATGGAAATCTTTGTGGGTACAAAAATACATCTAAGAGTGCAACCTTTCAGAAAATATTTCTCAAAATCTTCTGTTTAAAAAATATATTGTGAACAGTCACAAAATAAAGTTCACTTTCTGATGTAGGATTCCCCTCTGTATGCTGTGAATACCATTTGTTAATAAAGAAACTGTTTTGAGCCTAGAGAAGAGCAGGGCAGAACAGAGCTAAGCAGGGAAACTAAACCAAATGCTGGGGGAAGGAAGGCAGAGTTTAGAAGCCATGGAGCCACCACCAGAGACAGACATGCTGGAACCTTGTTAGTATGCCATGAGCATCATGGCAAAATATAAAATACTGGAAATGGGTTAATACTAGTTGTAAGAGCTAGCTAGTAATACACTTAAGTGATTGGCCAAACAGTGATTTAAGTAATAGAGTTTCTGTGTGATTATTTTGGGAGTCTGGGTGGCCAAGAAATGAACAAGTGGCCTCTTACAACAACATTCCTTTTTGAAATTACCTTCAGCTTACAGTCTGCATCTTTCCTTTGTTTTTCTTCATATGCCACACATTTCAGAATTATAAATATGCTAACGTTGCAAGTCTTTAGAAACCATAGAAGACGTTGAATAAAGTATATTTCCCTTAATTTAAATAGTAAATAAATGAAAATAACAACAAAATATGCCTTAAAAATAAAATCTCCAGATAAAGATCATCATACAATCTCAAGAAGTGTTTCCAGAGAGAGAGTTCGTAAATGTTTTTGAGCAGCACCATTATGCTCTGATAAATCATGCAAACTCTGAAGGTTTGTAATTTAAATGAGAGATATCATTTCAATTTTATGGTTCATAATAGACTTGCAAAACTCTTTTGCATTACTTTACATTCATTTTCCATATTTTCTTACTCTATCTTGGGAAGCCTATCAAGAGATATGCTACTTACATCTGAGATCTACTGGAAGGAGACCCGAAATATAGCTCTGTGATGGAAAAGCTGAAAAATGAAGCTAATAAGAAAATGATCATCGTGAGATGGCTCACCAATGATTTGCCTTCAAAATGATGCTCCTTTTGGCTTCATTATAGCAAGTTAGATGAAGCGATTAACCTAGTTATATTTCTCTATTATTTGAAGAAAAAATATCATTTAAAAGAAGTTTTCCTTACATGTACATACTGTGTCTAGCTTAAGGTTTCACTTTATTTTGTCTGCCATTGTCCATTAACTATAATATCTAAAGAAATGTAACTTCCTTATTTTCAATTTATCCTTAATAGGTTTAACAAATAAATTTCAAATGCTACATGATTTTGGATCCAGCACACAGGTGTGTTTTAAAGTTAGCTTTTAACAAAACATACATTTGTATCTTCTAACTGAGTAAAAGAATCTTTGATTTTTTAAAATGAAATTTATTTTTATTTTATGAATGTGAGTGTTCTGCCTAAAACTGTGTATATTCTCATCCTGTGCCTATGAAGCCTAGGTGAAGGCATCAGATCTTCAGGGATTGCAGATATAGATGACTGAGAGCTGCCATTCTGGTGCTGGATATTAAACCTTGACCTTCTCTAAGAGAAGCAAGCACTCTTAACTACTGATTTCCCTTCTTAGCCTCTATTTACAATTCTTATTTTTTTTCCTTTTATTGTAAATAGATTTTTTTCTCACATGATACATATGTATCACAGTTCCCCTCACACTATTCCTTCCAGTTCCTTCTGACCTTCCCTCTCATCCAAATCTTTCCTCTTTCTGTATGTCATTAGAAAACACACAGCCTTCTAAGATTTAATAATAAATTAAATACAATACAATAAAATATAATATCAAAAGATAAAACAAAGCTAACAGCATTTTAGAACAAAGGTTTATGTCTAGATTGGTGTTTATGTTTCTCCTTTGGTAGAATTAAGAGCATCTTCCTTTACCTAAGACTCTAGCACCTAAGTGGGAAGGCTCTAAGTAGGCATCAGCTCTTTTTCTCTGTTTCAATGAGTTATGTAGGCATTGTCTTTGGAGATAGCGAATTGCTATCAGTTTTTGGAGAGTAACTTATAGTCTTTACAACAGCCTGAATTGTTTGGGCATTCCCAAAGGACTTCTTGACCAATAATTCAATTAGATGTTGCTCATTCCTAGTGCTGAAATATTAAGTTGGTGACAAAGGATATTCAATTGTGCTAGTTCTGTCTCCATCATTATTTGGTGATTTTATTTAGATTGCCCTCATGAATGCATTGGCTTTAGTAATTATCTAGTGTTTCACAATTTTCAATGCAATCTCTCAAGCGGCCATTAATGTTTCTCCACATATTCCTTCCTCACCCACATGTTTCTTCATTCTCTATACTTGAGCCTACCAATCCAGCCTTTCCCATCCATCTGTAACTATACATTCTTTTTTCTTTCCCTGGAGAAATATATCTGTCCCTCCCCAGTCCCTTACTATCTACCTAATCTTTCTGGTTCTATGGTTTATAGTTTGGTTATCACTGAATTAAAGAATAATATTCACATATAAGCAAAACATACAATATTTGTCTTCCTGGGTTTACTTCACTTAGGATGAATTTTTTCCAGTTCTATCATTTTGCCTACGATTTTCATTATTTAATTTTTTAAATAGTGGAGTAATACTACATTGTGCAAATGTACCATGTGTTCTTTTATGCATTCATTTGTTGAAGGATATCTATGTTGTTTCCAAATTCTGGTTATTATTAATAAAGCAGCTATGGATAGATTTGAACAATCACCTTTTTGAATGTATGAAGCATACTTTGGGTATTTGCCCAAAGGTGGTAGAGCTGGATCTTGAGTTTCATTGACTCCATCTTACAGAGAAACTTCCACACTAATATCCATGGTAGTTGTAAAAGTGTTCCTGTTTTGCCATATCCTTGCCATCATATGCTGTGATTTTGGGGTAGTGGTAAGAAAAAGGATAAAAGGAGGAGATAGGTATAGAAAGCTACAACCAAAGATCTTTTTTTAAAAAAATCATATAAAAACTTGTTACTGTAGAATCCTCCCAAAATATATAAACATGAAAAGAACCTAATTGGAGTTATTAATAGGTGAGAAAGTGTCAAGCTAGATCTTCTTTTCCACCAAGAAAAACCTTTAGTGCAAGAAACGAGTTATATCTTGTTGGGTCATTGGATAATGGGATATAAAGCATCTTACTGAAACATCATATCTATTGCTGAGATTATTGGCTGTTCTCTGCAGCCTGATGGTAATGCCCTACTTCTAAATACAGCATTTACATATGTCATGGAACATGGAGAAATCGTACCCACTTGAAACTTCACACATACTGATTAGCATTCATTATGCTAGAAGATAGTAAGCATGATATTAGAAGATGAAGGTAATCATCATTATTGCCCATGTCCAAACCCTGTGACCTACAAGGTTAAACTGTTGTGTAGAATAGTGATACATATGTGATAAAATTTATCTAATCAATCACTTTTTGAAGGATTCTAGGTCCACTCTGTGAGATAGAATTCATACCTAACACCGGTAATGGGACCATTACCCGGAGACTAGGTAGGACTTGGTTCTAGGGAGAAAAACAGCAACAAACAAACA